CCAAAGTTCAAATACCTGTTCAATCCTCAGAAGATAGAGAGGTGGAGGCACGTAGATTGCATATTAGCGAGATCATGGAAAAAATACATAACAAATATCATACGGCTGAAAAAGAGGGTAATGCGAATACTGCTAATGACTTTATTACACAACTAGACATGTTGTTAAGTCATGTTCTTGGTATACAAAAGTAATATTAGTCTAAACTAAAGTGCTTGTGAATATATGCTGCTGTTTTTTTTCAAAAATTGAAATAAATAACCTAATATTTGCTGCTTATTACAATAGCTACGTATTATATCAATTACTCTTCACTGTTTATATGTAACGATAACTGTTTTTATCATCTTTTCATTATATGTAAATTAATGAAGTTAAAAATTTTCATATCCGACGTATTTCATCAGCAGGACCAGAAAAATAATTATAAGCTATGCGCCAGTCTTTAAACGAAGGCTAGTTTTTTTCAATAATATACACTAACAAGTAAATATGTCGCATCGGAAGTTGCCCCTATTTAAATAATATCTAAATTAGCACCTGACTAAAATTACATACATGCATGATCTGATTTCAGGAGCTTAATTTTAAGTACTTTTTGTATAAACCTTCGTCCCTATAAAAGATGGAAAAGTCTACTAAACAAATATCAGTTGAACCTCTTTGAATCCGATATGAACAATGACACAAAGGTATATATAGAGGTATGTAATTATGAAACACCAATCTACAAATTCTGGACGTAAAGTAATAAAAACCAAGAGAAATTGAAAACAATGATTCAATAAGGGCAACGTGCGTTAGAGTGTTAGTTTACATAATCTTTTATTTGGATATTTCATAAAAAAATCTTTTAAAAGCTCAAAGCAAATATGTTTATTAATATTAAAATATGAACTAACTACATAATTTTTTTTTTTGCAGTTGATTAAGTGTTACCATATAGCGTTGCATATAGTACCCCCTTGGAGAAGCACCCCCTTTAAATAATCTCAGGGTACTATTTAACTGTAGATTTTAACATCTTTGAAAAGTAATCAGGTAGTAGTTTATTACATTCATGATCCAACCAATGATCCTATTATACCTCTTTTTAGTATACCCCCTGTATAGTATTCCCCTCTTCACCCAGTACCTTCGGGGTATTATTTGTGGCAGATTAAAATGAAATTTAGATTAAAATGAAATAATAATATAAAATCTCGAAAAATAAATTTTTTGGTGTGTATTTTTTAGGGTTAGAAGTTAGAATTAGGAGTTAGGATTAGAGTAAAATATATTAAACAAGTATAAGTGGGTTTTAGAAGGTTAGAAGGTTGAATAGAAAATGTAGATTTCATTTTAAATTATGATCTGCGACATTATTTAATTAATCTTATATTTCTTGTAAAAGACCGGGAATACTATATGCAGCGCTGATAGTAGAAACTACACAGTATCGAGTATTAAAAACTATATGGTATGTACATCCGGGTTCTGGATTATATTTGATATATAAATTATTGATTCTATATACAGTATTATAACTATTCGAAGTTAATAAATAAACAGAGTAAAGATATACTTGCTTTGTGGCAAAAGATGTAATTAAAAAATTCATTAGAGCATTAAATTTTGCTTCGGCTTTATATTTTTTAATCTTTTAAGCTTATGATTTGATTGACTAATTATCATGTGAAAATACTTGAACATTGAACGTAGTGTTGGGATCCTCTAAATATCGATCACGGTTATTTAATGAATATTCACAGATTTTAGTCATTCACAAATGATACTAAATAAATATACAGATTTTATATGAATATTCATAAAGAATTCATGGGAATTTGTGAAATCGCAGATATTTATAGAGAATTTGCAGGTATTCATAAAGAATTCGCAGATATTCATAGGGAATTCGCAGATATTCAGAAAATCTTGTGATTACATTTCTCATATTCATCAAATATTCGTAGATATTTACACGGATATCCACATAGAAATATTCATATAGAATATTTAGATATTTACACAGATATTTACAATGAATATTCATTTTATTCGTGAATATTCACGGATCCGAACTTTAATTAAAAATTTGACTCGGTTCTTTAGATATCTTAAGTTGTAAATTGTAACTTCAGATATGACAAATATAAATAATTAGAAAAAATAACTATTATCGCCAAATAATAAACGATATGAGCAATATGTATAAACCAATTTGTAATTTGTTATTTATTTAGAGAAATTTGCATTGAAAAAAAATCAAATTTTTTAATAGTTTATTCGATTAGTGATTAGTCATATGTGAGAAATAATACTAATATTATCAAGCTTAGCTACCCAGCTTTAACTACCTACCCAGTTTTAGCTACCTGGTTTTAACTACTCAGCTTTAACTATCTTGCTTTAGCTACCCTGCTTTAGCTATCTTGTTTTAGCAACCCAGCTTTAGCAACCCTGCTTTAGCTACCTGGCTTTAACTACCCGGCTTTAATTACCTCGCTTTAGCTACCTGGCTTTAACTACCCGGCTTTAATTACCTCGCTTTAGCTACCCTGCTTTAGCTACCCTGCTTTAGCTACCTGGCCTTAACTACCCGGCTTTAGCTACCCTGCTTTAGCTACCTGGCCTTAACTAACCGGCTTTAGCTATGTGGCACACCAGCCATTAGGGTTTGTGGCTGTGGCTAATACAAGCCACCGCCACTGTGGCTGAGGTCACGTGACTACCCGGCTTTAGACGACCCCATGAAACGTCCATTGATCACCTTGCGCTATTTAAATGTTACATTGTAATACCTTGAATAAACGTTTGTCGTTATGTTATTTATTATTGTTTTTTATTTCCTATTTTATACATATCGATATCTTCTTATTACCATGTTTGGTTATTCATTATGTTTAGCATAGGGTCACATTATTGGTGTCTTATGATGACGCGTGTTGATTTCGCAATTATTCGGTAACCCAGAAAAGACTGTGAGAGTAACGGTATTCTATATACAGTTCCACTAAATGTACGGTTCCACCAATGAAGCCAATGTAAATAGATATTTAAGTGGAAGCACATTTTGAGGATTAAGAGGTACAAAAGGAAGGGTGTGGTTTGTGGTGATCGGTTATTGCAAGAGAACTGTTAGTGATCAAGATTAAAAGTACCAGATAAAAATTCAGAGGATTAAAAATATTGGGGAAACGAGGAGATCGGTTTGAGATAGTTTAGTAACGGAGAAAAACTCGGTGTTCTTATTTTCTTATGCTTTCTCAACTAGATAGTAGTGCTATGAGATCAATTTTACGATGTACGAGTCCAATAATTGATAAGGTGAACGATTGTTAATTTACGGGTTTCCTTTTCCGTCAATCATTTGTGCAGACTAAATTGAATTATAGTTTTTTTTTGAAAGTTTATTATTTATTATTTACCAGAGTACATTTTTACATAGACCTGTGTAGAATTTAAACAAAGACAATTCCTATTTATACGCCATGTGTATGACATGGGTATTCTTATTTCTCAAAATTTTGATTAAGAATTGCTTTTAAGGTTCTAATGGTTCTAATGGTTCTAACTTAATTACAAATCGACTTAGGTTCTAACAAATAAAGTTTCTTTTGCATAAATTATACCTTTCTCTGAACTTCAAAATTACTCTTAACGTTAATATTAAACGGGAATAATTTTTGTTTATAAAAAATTGATTTGTATACGTATGTGTGTTACATGATTAATTATACTATAAAAAGTTACAAACCCAATGTAGATCTGTGTAGTAGAAAATTCTATGTAGATTGATAAAATGTATTTTGTGATACTCTAGCGTAGTTATCTGGTCAATCAAAATTCAAGATCAGGTTTAACATAAAACCAAAATAAAAATCCATTCAAATCCTAACCTTAACGCGGTAGCAAATGTTTTTGTATTGGTGTTGCTAAGTTCTATGCCGACCAATTATGCATATATTTAAAGTCTTAATTACATATAATTTGTGTCGCCGATAAAAGGGCTGAATACAGTAAATAAATAAATAATAAAGTTGAAAGCCTGAAGTCTTGGCGTTATTCATATAACACTAATTCTACCCTCAATATATCGTTTGATTGAATGTATTGAGATTTGCATCGATCTTAGGTTCATACCAAAGTATTAATAATAAATTTTTAATTTCTTTTATTGTCTCTATATTTGATTAGCTTTCTACTTAACAACATTTATATTATTCTTTTCTTTACTATAAATTTTTTTTTATTTTCATATCACTCTTGTATTCCTATAGTGATCTGTATATCTTGTATTATTTTTTTTTTTGTATTTTGACACGAGATTGTACGAAACCTTTATACCTCCATTTATACATATGACATAACTAAAAGAAGATAAGAAAATGGTCCATAAATACAATAAGCAAATATTAAATATATACAAATGTAGATATATTACAGTTAAATTAATATTAGCAATTATGTCTCATGTAAGATTATCTACCTACATTTTTATTTAATCAACTTTATTGTTTGATACATTCCACAGATGGTGAATTCATTTAATGCTTCACGGCAATTTGTTTTATAAGCAGTTCAAATGAAGGGCACGGTAATTATTAAAATTTTAAGACCTTTAAGTTGCTAAACGTATATTTTAATTATCTATAGTATATATATATAGTATATATATACATACATTTTCATTCACTACTAAGCGTACGAAGAGCATCAATTTCGATGATTGATAGTGACAATATTTACTTCTACTATTAAATTGGTATAAAATGGCTCCAGAACCAGCATTATTGAAAGCAATACATTTCTTACAGAACCCTATACCTCAATATGTGCTGGGAACATTACCAGCTATAGCAATAATGGGAACAACTCCAAATAAAACTTTATTGGAAAAGCTTACTTGGGTACTACAATGCCTTGGCTGTCCGTTTATAGGATTATTTTACTTTTGTAACGTAGGAAGTAAGATAGGGGGCAAGGTAGAATACGAGACAGTAGAAATGTGTGTATATTGGCTTGCATCGAAGTGTTTTATTCAAGGCAATAAAGATGATGCCGATAAAATTGATGCCGATAAAATTGATGCCAATAAAGTTGATGCCAAAAATAAAGGTAAAAAAAAAGTTAATACCAACAATGGCAATGATGAACAAGACATAATCAGTGTTATGGTTAAAAGCAGTGACAGTAACGAACTCAATAGTGAAAATAAAGAAACCAATGGTATAGATAAAGGCAGTAGCAGTAACGGACCCAATAGTAACGACGAAGAAAAAATAATTGAAAATGGAAATCAAACCAAAAAGAAAGCGCCTAAAAATGAAAATCAAGACAAACGACCTGTTGGATACCATGCAATGAGATTACATCCTACCTCCGAACAGAGAGCCATTTTTACTAATTGGGTGGCGAATGCATCTTTATTAGACAGACTGGCATCATTAGCGTCAGCATATTACATATTAGTTGGTATATTTGCAGGAATATCTAAAGCAGCAGGGCCATGTATGGAAGATAATTCATTAGAAGATTGGCCATTCATACCATTATTATTCATTTGGGCACTACCCATAATTTACGTAAGAATAAGTAATGGCAAAGTAGTATATAAATTATCAGAAGATTCTTTTCCAGATCAATCAATACTTGTCACAGATTTCGATGTAAAGGACCGTCATAAAAAAAAACTACATGTTGCAATTACTGCTTTAGCTTCAGTAGCACTAGCTTGGTTAGCAGTAATCATTGCATATTACACTCCCCCAATTGGATTTTTCTGCCGCAGTAAGTTCCTTACAATTATATGTTCTATATGGACATTCAACAATATCGCTGCATTTGTATCTCACGTGAATGGGGAACAGAACGTGTATCCAGATATTTCTAATTGGTTCATAATTTGTGGCATTATAATGACTGTACTTTTGATTTTTTTGAGCCTGTTAGCAGGCACAAATTCATGGTGGATAAGCTTATTTGGTCCCTCTTGTGATATTCAATTTACATGTAATTAAAATAATGGATTATCATGCATCACGTGATCGAGATCGATATGTTTTATTTAGTCACATAATACTATTGCTATTATTCTTCGCATATATTATTATTTTATTATTGTGATTTATTACTATTATGGTATACATTAAAAATCAATAAAGTCCCATAGTTAACGATTATAACGGTTTATTATTCATGATTGATAAATTGTTTACATACTGCTGTACTGATCTGATCTTATATATTTGCTGTCCTGAATTACGGCATTATAACGTGCGAAATTTTTGAATGAATGATATTACTGAACCGTTTTTCGATTTCTTATTTGGAAGTATATTTAAAGCGAAGCAACTAAATCTAGGGTTAGAGTTGATCTATGGTTAGTGTTAGGGTCAATGTTTCGGGCGAAACCTAAATATTTCGCCTTATCCGGATCCGAAATATTGGCGATATTAGTTTCACCCAACATTTATTCCGATAAAATCTGTAATTGCCTAAAACCCGAACTCAATCCGAAGTATTAGAAATGGTTTGAAACTGTCTTCCTCAGCATCGCCAGAAAAATTTTTCACTATCACGTGATAATCGACAAAATTCTTTACTTTCGTTTTTGTTAGAGTTGGAGCCTATGTTAGGGTTAGAATTTATAGGGATGGCAACGGTCGGTCATGATCGGTCACGGTCAATAACCGCCCGGTTATTGCTCAATGACCGACCGACCGCGGTTATAACTGAGTTACATCCTTAAGGGTAGGGTGTACGTAGATCATTTTTCATATGATCTACGTGGTATATTAGATTTTTATATAGTAAATAAAAAA